CAAAATTCTCTCTGTCTGAGTCTCCTACATCAGATCCTACTGTACACCTTTCAGGAATCTGATTTGTCTTGCATATCTCACATTTCACCTCACTGAAAATCTACTTGCTTACAAAATCAGACATAAAAATACAAAAGTGTCACCGCACACTATTACTGAAAAATTGCTTACTTTCTTATTTTAAACATATAATTATAAAATAAATCAACTGGAATATAAATATTGTGCTTACATTTCAGTGTATGTATATAGAGCAGTATAAACAAGTCATTGTCTGTATGAAATTTTAGTTTGTACTGACTTTGCTAGTGCTTTAAAACTAGGCAAATATCTGCATGAGTTGACGTACCCTCTGGAAGACCTCTGCGTACCCCTAGGGGTATACGTACCCCTGGTTGAGAACCACTGTCCTACATGATGTTCCTCAAGGGAAGACAAGACTAGCAAGCGAGTGGTTCAATTTTAAGCAAGCTCAACATGGATTCCAAAGCAGATGATGAAAAAAACTGTGGCTGAAAGAGATTCCCATCTCTTATAACCTGGAACAAGCTCAGAAGAACAGCTCCCATTTCAGGAATTTCTGATTCAGATTCCTCACCTTGCAACAGGTTCTCTTGTGTGGCCTTTAGCAAGGCACCAACCTCTCTGCCTTCTCCCATCTGTTCTTAAGTACATCATGCAGTGCTATGAGACTATGTCTTGCAAATGCTTTGAAAATGAAAAGCACTACATTTAAGGTCAGGCTTGACAAAGCCCTGGCTGGGATGATTTAATTGGGGATCGGTCCTGCTTTGAGCAGGGGGTTGGACTAGATGACCTCCTGAGGTCCCTTCCAACCCTGATATTCTATGATTCTGTTCTAAGGTCAAGCAATTTTTGTTATTGGTATAAATACAGGGGTGAAAGTGAGCCGGTACGGGCCAGTACTTCATACTGGTAAGAACCCGCACTAGTCCATTCCCAGCCTGCCCCTTTTGCCTCCCCTGTCGGCACCCCTGCTGGTAGGGTCTGTACAGGCCGGGGGAGGCAAAGGGAGCAGCTGCCCTGGGGCCGGCAATTTAAAAGGGCCTGGAGCTCCGGACGCTGCTGCCGCTACGGCAACAGCGGAGTCCAGAGCCCCAGGCCCTTTAAATCAACACGGGAGCCCTAGGCAGCATGGGCCAGCGGTTCTGGAAGGGCTGGCTGGGGGATGCTGACCCCCCAGCCCCGCCCCTTCCACTCGAGGCGCCGCCTCGCCCTGTACCGGTAAGTGGCCTCAGTTACTTTCCCCCCTGTATAAATGGATTATTCTTAGCTCATTCACAGTAGCAATACTTTGGTCTTGAAGTGAACATTAACAAGCGTGGTAGAAGCAGCAGTTGACTTTATAATATTAGCAGGTGCTTCACTGAACAAAAGGATGAACATTGGCAGTCAGAAATGGAGTGCCTCTTAATTCCACTTACAATCCACTGAGCCATCAAGTTTCACAAGTCACTGGATAAAATCCAGTCCAAGCCAGAAATAACTGAAAACTGTTTCCACTTGCTGTTTGTGTGGTGGTCTAATGTATGTGAAATAACTCTGTGGTCTCAACAGAGCTGTTGGGAGGTTGGACAAATGCCTCCATCAAAAATCCAGAATGACATTGCACGTTAATTTTCACCCTTACCAGCAATCTCAGACAAGGGGTCAAGATGGTCAGGAGACTGACCTATTCTCATTGCTACAGGTGGCCAGACTGGAACTAGGTTGAGGCACATGAATTACTTCTGGAGGAATTCTACGTTCCTGTGAGGGCACAGAATTCATACCTTCTGCAGATTTCTTGGCTCCCCCGCAGAAAAATGGAGGAGCAAAGAAATCTGTGGGGAACACACGCCTCTTCCCCGGCAGCCTGGGCACGTCTGCTGTGAGCAGCTAGCAGCAGAGAGCAGCTCACAATGGGGGGGGATCAGGGAGGCTGGGCATGCTTGCGTGCGTCCATGGAGAGATGTTAAGGGGATGGAGCTGGGCCCGTGCCTGCGTGCGAATGAATGAGAGACACACACTCTGTCCCTCTTGCTTGCTGTTCCTGGATCCCAGCTTGGAGGCATAGGGCTGTCTGAAGCAAGCTCTGTCCCTAAGGCAGAGCAGAAATGTAACAATTAAGCAGGCAGGCTGCTAACGTTCCCATTGTTAGTTAATTGTTCCCATTCTTAGTTGATTAAGGCTCGTTTACCTTGCCAGAGAGGGGTAAAGGAGCCTTATTGTAAATGACAGTAACGAAATCCTAAACTAGGAAGATCTATGTCAAGGGATCTCAAACTGGGGATTACCCTGAGGGGGTAATGAGGTTATTATATGGGGGGTCGCAAGCTGTCAGCCTCAACCCCAAACTCCACTTTGCATCCAGCATTTATAATGGTGTTAAATATATAAAAAAGTGTTTTTAATTCATAAGGGGGTTGCATTCAGAGGCTTGCTATGTGAAAGGGGTCGCCAGTACAAAAATTTGAGCGCTACTGGTCTATGTGCTTTCTGTCTTTTTTTCCTGTGCCAGAGAGCCACAATGGAGTTAGATTACAGCTCAGGATCTATTTTACTTATCCATTAAAAAAAAAAAAAGCAGGACAATGATTAGCAAAACTGTATGACTTTCATGTGTGAAAATCTGCGCAATTAAAAGCGACGTTGTACGTTACAGAACACCAAACACCAAAATAAAAGTAATGTAATTTAAATGAAAATCCACGATTATAACTGGAATGCTGGATATTGGTTACCAAGTATTTGTAATTTAACTTTCATGTATTTAGGAAATGCTGAACAGTTATTGTGATTTTTTTCTGTATATCAGTTTAAATACATTACCAAAATAAGTGAAACTGGTGTGATTATATTGCAGTATTTCGACAAATTAAATATGCAGGATTTTGCAGAATTTTGCATTTTTGGTGCAGAATTTTGGGGGTTTGGGCACAGAATTCCCCCCAGGACCAATGGATATAAGAGTGTGAAGATCCCTGCATGCCTGCTACTCATGCAGTATCTCTTCTGTGGACAAACATAGGATTTCATTTTCCAGAACTATTAACATTTAATTTTCTTGATGAGCACAAAGGATGGAATTTTAGGGAAAGAGACAAAGTAGTAGAAGAAACTAATGAAGCGATAACTGAAAAAGGATAAAAGCAATTAAGGGGATGCACAAAAACATAAAAAGAAAAGGAGTACTTGTGGCACCTTGGAGACTAACCAATTTATTTGAGCATGAGCTTTCGTGAGCTACAGCTCACTTCATCGGATGCATACTGTGGAAACTGCAGAAGACATTATATACACACAGAGACCATGAAACAATACCTCCTCCCACCCCACTGTCCTGCTGGTAATAGCTTATCTAAAGCTTATCTAAAGTGATCATCAAGTTGTGAATCAAACAAACTGTTGACTCTTCCATTTTGCTTCATAGATATTGTACAAAGACTACAGAAGAAACAGAAATCAGACCTAACCAAAACCCCCTCACTTAAGCTAAGCCATTACCCCTCCAAACAACCAGTTGAATTGAGGATCTAATTTCTGAAAACCTTGATAGATTTTTCACCACATATTCCTAACTAGAAAAAAAAAAAGATAGAATAAAAGTGTAATAATTTAGTTATGTTAATTAATGCTAATGAAATAAAAAAATATATAAATTGCATGGGTGTGAGTGGGAAGAAAGAATCGCATTCTCAAATACCAGGCAGATACACATAAGATTCAATCCTGTACTCCTGACCCCGGTTCTAAAGGAGCTCTGCAAAGGATCAGGTGCACAGGATTGGGCCCTGTAATAATGAGTTGATTATCATAATATTTATCTGATCAATATGCAGCACACAAAATCTTGACTATCATTATGATCTTGTTGTGTATGGTACTATACACATAAATATAAAGATAGGATCCCTGCCTCAAGGAGTTTACAATCTAAAGGCTGGTTTCAGAGTAGCAGCTGTGTTAGTCTATATTCGCAAAAAGAAAAGGAGTACTTCTGGCACCTTAGAGACTAACAAATTTATTTGAGCATAAGCTTCCGTGAGCTACAGCTCACTTCATCGGATGCATTCAGTGGAAAATACAGTGGGGAGATTTATATACATAGAGAACATGAAACAATGGGTGTTACCATACACACTGTAAGGAGAGTGATCACTTAAGGTGAGCTATTACCAGCAAGAGAGCAAGGGGGTGGGGGGGGGGGGACCTTTTGTAGTGATAATCAAGGTGGGCCATTTCCAGCAGTTGAAAAGAACGTCTGCGGAACAGTGTGGGGTGGACGGGGGGGGGGGGGGGATAAACATGGGGAAATAATTTTACTTTGTGTAATGACCCATCCACTCCCAGTCTCAAAACTCCAAGTTATGGAGTTTTGCCCCATAACTTGACATTACTGCAGTCAGCCATTTTGTGTGTTTAACCACTACTAGCTAAAAACCAAATACCAGATAGCTAGAAATAATTTTAGGGCTCTAAAAGGCAAGGCCAAACAACTACATAAATGCAGTTTTTCTAATTGAAATAAATAAATAAATAAAAACCAAAAAAGTTAATATGCCATAAAAATAAAAGAAAATGTTTAAACAGACAATCTTGGTTTTAAGTACCATTGTCATATACATTTTATTATGGTTATAACTATAAATACTAAAAATGTTTTAATAATAAAAAATAAGATGTAATTTCCTACATTAAAAAAAATTGGTAACCCACTAGGGGTGGCTATAATAACCCACTGAAATTATTATAAATGATGTGCTTTATTTAAACTAGCTATATAAAAAAATCAGAAAAAAAATACACTTTAGAGCAGTCCAAAAAAGCTTTTCTTAGGGCAGGGAGCTAATACCTAAACTCCCCATCGGCTGGACAGAAGGCGGGCCCCTGGAAGACCGGCTGGTAATTACTCAAGACCATCTCAAACTTAGGGTAACTATAATGTTTGTTTCAGAGGAACAGCCGTGTTAGTCTGTATTCGCAAAAAGAAAAGGAGTACTTGTGGCACCTTAGAGACTAACCAATTTATTTGAGCATGAGCTTTCGTGAGCCACAGCTCACTTCATCAGATGTGTACCGTGGAAACTGCAGCAGACTTTATATACACACAGAGAATATGAAACAATACCTCCTCCCACCCCACTGTCCTGCTGGTAATAGCTTATCTAAAGTGATCAGCAGGTGGGCCATTTCCAGCACAAATCCAGGTTTTCTCACCCTCCACCCCCCCACACAAATTCACTCTCCTGCTGGTGCTAGCCCATCCAAAGTGACAACTCTTTACATAATCAAGTCGGGCTATTTCCTGCATAGATCCAGGTTCTCTCACTTCCCCCTCACCCCCATACACACACAAACTCACTCTCCTGCTGGTCTAAACTGACCACTCTCCAAGTTTAAATCCAAGTTAAACCAGAATATCTGGAGGGGGGGGGTAGGAAAAAACAAGAGGAAACAGGCTACCTTGCATAATGACTTAGCCACTCCCAGTCTCTATTTAAGCCTAAATTAATAGTATCCAATTTGCAAATGAATTCCAATTCAGCAGTTTCTCGCTGGAGTCTGGATTTGAAGTTTTTTTGTTTTAAGATAGCGACCTTCATGTCTGTGATAGCGTGACCAGAGAGATTGAAGTGTTCTCCGACTGGTTTATGAATGTTATAATTCTTGACATCTGATTTGTGTCCATTTATTCTTTTACGTAGAGACTGTCCAGTTTGACCAATGTACATGGCAGAGGGGCATTGCTGGCACATGATGGCATATATCACATTGGTGGATGTGCAGGTGAACGAGCCTCTGATAGATAAGCTCTTTAGATAAGCTATTACCAGCAGGACAGTGGGGTGGGAGGAGGTATTGTTTCATATTCTCTGTGTGTATATAAAGTCTGCTGCAGTTTCCACGGTAAACATCTGATGAAGTGAGCTGTAGCTCACGAAAGCTCATGCTCAAATAAATTGGTTAGTCTCTAAGGTGCCACAAGTACTCCTTTTCTTTTTGCGAATACAGACTAACACGGCTGTTCCTCTGAAACCTCTGATAGTGTGGCTGATGTTATTAGGCCCTGTGATGGTGTCCCCTGAATAGATATGTGGGCACAATTGGCAACGGGCTTTGTTGCAAGGATAAGTTCCTGGGTTAGTGGTTCTGTTGTGTGGTATGTGGTTGTTGGTGAGTATTTGCTTCAGGTTGCGGGGCTGTCTGTAGGCAAGGACTGGCCTGTCTCCCAAGACTTGTGAGAGTGTTGGGTCATCCTTTAGGATAGGTTGTAGATCCTTAATAATGCGTTTGAGGGGTTTTAGTTGGGGGCTGAAGGTGACCGCTAGTGGCGTTCTGTTATTTTCTTTGTTAGGCCTGTCCTGTAGTAGGTAACTTCTGGGAACTCTTCTGGCTCTATCAATCTGTTTCTTTACTTCTGCAGGTGGGTATTGTAGTTGTAAGAAAGCTTGACAGAGATCTTGTAGGTGTTTGTCTCTGTCTGAGGGGTTGGAGCAAATGCGGTTGTATCGCAGAGCTTGGCTGTAGACGATGGATCGTGTGGTGTGGTCAGGGTGAAAGCTGGAGGCATGCAGGTAGGAATAGCGGTCAGTAGGTTTCCGGTATAGGGTGGTGTTTATGTGGCCATTGTTTATTAGCACTGTAGTGTCCAGGAAGTGGATCTCTTGTGTGGACTGGACCAGGCTGAGGTTGGTGGTGGGATGGAAATTGTTGAAATCATGGTGGAATTCCTCAAGGGCTTCTTTTCCATGGGTCCAGATGATGAAGATGTCATCAATATAGCGCAAGTAGAGTAGGGGCTTTAGGGGACGAGAGCTGAGGAAGCGTTGTTCTAAATCAGCCATAAAAATGTTGGCATACTGTGGGGCCATGCGGGTACCCATAGCAGTGCTGCTGATCTGAAGGTATACATTGTCCCCAAATGTGAAATAGTTATGGGTAAGGACAAAGTCACAAAGTTCAGCCACCAGGTTAGCCGTGACATTATCGGGGATAGTGTTCCTGACGGCCTGTAGTCCATCTTTGTGTGGAATGTTGGTGTAGAGGGCTTCTACATCCATAGTAGCCAGGATGGTGTTATCAGGAAGATCACCGATGGATTGAAGTTTCCTCAGGAAGTCAGTGGTGTCTCGAAGGTAGCTGGGAGTGCTGGTAGCGTAGGGCCTGAGGAGGGAGTCTACATAGCCAGACAATCCTGCTGTCATTGGCACCCTGACAGCAGGATTGTCTGGCTATGTAGACTCCCTCCTCAGGCCCTACGCTACCAGCACTCCCAGCTACCTTCGAGACACCACTGACTTCCTGAGGAAACTTCAATCCATCGGTGATCTTCCTGATAACACCATCCTGGCTACTATGGATGTAGAAGCCCTCTACACCAACATTCCACACAAAGATGGACTACAGGCCGTCAGGAACACTATCCCCGATAATGTCACGGCTAACCTGGTGGCTGAACTTTGTGACTTTGTCCTTACCCATAACTATTTCACATTTGGGGACAATGTATACCTTCAGATCAGCGGCACTGCTATGGGTACCCGCATGGCCCCACAGTATGCCAACATTTTTATGGCTGATTTAGAACAACGCTTCCTCAGCTCTCGTCCCCTAAAGCCCCTACTCTACTTGCGCTATATTGATGACATCTTCATCATCTGGACCCATGGAAAAGAAGCCCTTGAGGAATTCCACCATGATTTCAACAATTTCCATCCCACCACCACCCTCAGCCTGGTCCAGTCCACACAAGAGATCCACTTCCTGGACACTACAGTGCTAATAAACAATGGCCACATAAACACCACCCTATACCGGAAACCTACTGACCGCTATTCCTACCTGCATGCCTCCAGCTTTCACCCTGACCACACCACACGATCCATCGTCTACAGCCAAGCTCTGCGATACAACCGCATTTGCTCCAACCCCTCAGACAGAGACAAACACCTACAAGATCTCTGTCAAGCTTTCTTACAACTACAATACCCACCTGCAGAAGTAAAGAAACAGATTGATAGAGCCAGAAGAGTTCCCAGAAGTTACCTACTACAGGACAGGCCTAACAAAGAAAATAACAGAACGCCACTAGCGGTCACCTTCAGCCCCCAACTAAAACCCCTCAAACGCATTATTAAGGATCTACAACCTATCCTAAAGGATGACCCAACACTCTCACAAGTCTTGGGAGACAGGCCAGTCCTTGCCTACAGACAGCCCCGCAACCTGAAGCAAATACTCACCAACAACCACATACCACACAACAGAACCACTAACCCAGGAACTTATCCTTGCAACAAAGCCCGTTGCCAATTGTGCCCACATATCTATTCAGGGGACACCATCACAGGGCCTAATAACATCAGCCACACTATCAGAGGTTTCAGAGGAACAGCCGTGTTAGTCTGTATTCGCAAAAAGAAAAGGAGTACTTGTGGCACCTTAGAGACTAACCAATTTATTTGAGCATGAGCTTTCGTGAGCTACAGCTCACTTCATCAGATGTTTACCGTGGAAACTGCAGCAGACTTTATATACACACAGAGAATATGAAACAATACCTCCTCCCACCCCACTGTCCTGCTGGTAATAGCTTATCTAAAGAGCTTATCTATCAGAGGCTCGTTCACCTGCACATCCACCAATGTGATATATGCCATCATGTGCCAGCAATGCCCCTCTGCCATGTACATTGGTCAAACTGGACAGTCTCTACGTAAAAGAATAAATGGACACAAATCAGATGTCAAGAATTATAACATTCATAAACCAGTCGGAGAACACTTCAATCTCTCTGGTCACGCTATCACAGACATGAAGGTCGCTATCTTAAAACAAAAAAACTTCAAATCCAGACTCCAGAGAGAAACTGCTGAATTGGAATTCATTTGCAAATTGGATACTATTAATTTAGGCTTAAATAGAGACTGGGAGTGGCTAAGTCATTATGCAAGGTAGCCTGTGTCCTCTTGTTTTTTCCTACCCCCCCCTCCAGATATTCTGGTTTAACTTGGATTTAAACTTGGAGAGTGGAGCAGCAGGAGAGTGAGTTTGTGTGTGTATGGGGGTGGGGGGGAAGTGAGAGAACCTGGATCTATGCAGGAAATAGCCCGACTTGATTATGTAAAGAGTTGTCACTTTGGATGGGCTAGCACCAGCAGGAGAGTGAATTTGTGTGGGGGGGTGGAGGGTGAGAAAACCTGGATTTGTGCTGGAAATGGCCCACCTGCTGATCACTTTAGATAAGCTATTACCAGCAGGACAGTGGGGTGGGAGGAGGTATTGTTTCATATTCTCTGTGTGTATATAAAGTCTGCTGCAGTTTCCACGGTACACATCTGATGAAGTGAGCTGTGGCTCACGAAAGCTCATGCTCAAATAAATTGGTTAGTCTCTAAGGTGCCACAAGTACTCCTTTTCTTTTTATAATGTTTGTGGTGCTCTAAACTATTGCTATTGCATATATGCAGGTGTGCTTAAAGCCTAATAAAATAGTATTATTATTAAACAAAGAAGTTGTGTCCCCATTGATTTATTCCTAATGCCACCTTAAAAAAACAAACCAGTTACGTTACCATTGCTTTGGGTTCAAAAAACTCTGGGTAATGGGAGAGAGAAAACATTTAACAACAGAAAGGGAATACATCCCCTGGGAAAGTATTTTTCCCTATTTTGAGCACATTGTACACATTGTTCTATTTCATATTAGGAAGTTGTTTTTGTTTTAATGGTTATTTTAAAGTTACGTTCCTGTGCATGAGTAGATGGCAACAGAGGGAAGATTAACAATGAAAATCTAATTGAAAGAAGTGAACTTTAGAGGAAATCGGATGGAGGAAGTTTCCAGTGCATGAAAAAAATGTGAAATAAGAGACAGAAGTACAAGTGGCATAAGGACAGGAAGGAGGACTGGGAAGAATTCACGGCATAAGAAGGGGAGCAAGAGGCAAGTAAGGCTAAAATATTAGCAGGGCAAGCTGTGTAGGGTTTTGAGGACATGAACAATATTTGGATGGGCTTGAAGCTGGAGACCAAAAAGAAGAAGGTTAGAGAAGTCAAGACAAAAGGTAATGAAGATTAGCCTCATCTCAGTACATGCACAATGCAAGCCAAGTACATTATTGCATAATGGAAATATAGGGCCTGCTTCTGCTCTCAATTCCACTACTTTTACCACTGTGGAACTTCATTGATTTCAGTGGGGCTTCTTCTGTTTTATACCAGTGAAAGTGAAAGCAGAATCAGCTTTCCGTCAGTCCCATAATTCCTTAAAAAAATTATTCTTAGTGCACTTCACATGAGAGAGGCAGACAGGGGAAAAAATACTCTTTAAATGGGATTTAAATACTTTCTCTCAGTTTATGTACCCTTGATCGTGTTACCTTGCCAGCAAGCACCAACAGTTAGCTGCATGGCTATGTGTGATGGATGGATAGGCCAATCATTTGTCACAAGGTAAGGCTCATACGTCGTGCCGTCCATATATAAGGTAACCACAGGAAACTCAACATTGACGACGTAGTAGTGCCATTCTTTATCACAAATCTGAATAATAAAAGAAATAAAAGAAGATCTTTAGACCCCTTTGTTCTGCTCCTATTTTCATGCAGAATAAATTCTTTTGATCATGTTATTTCCAAGACGTGGAATTCTACTGGTAGAAGCAGATAACAATTACTGCACTTTAGGCTGAAAAAGAACAATGTTAACATTTTCATGGATAAATTTTTGACACAATGCTATGGTATTTAGCCTGTACCTCTGTGGTTACATCTCTACACACGCTGGTCAAAAAGGAGGCATCTCACTGAAATTAACAAAAGTCAAACCAATGTTGACAAATATCACAACTGGCACACATGTGTAACACATTTTAAACAAATTCCTCTTAAAACACATTCTTTAAAGGGATGGAGCAGAGTGAAAATTCAATGGATTTTGCACTTGTTGTGCATCCTTACATTACTTAAGTCAGATTAACTAGTTAATATATCAGAATAGTTAATGTTTGTACAGCCTTTCAAGAATACAAAGTTCTATAGAAGTGCTCAATAGTGGTTTTTGTATCTGACCATGATTATTCTAGACCACGAATCAGCAACCTTTGGCATGCAGCCCGCCAGGGTAAGCCCCTTGCGGGCCGGGCTGGTTTGTTTACCTGCTGTGTCTGCAGGTTCGGCCGATTGCAGCTCCCACTGGGAGTTCATCAGCAGTTCATCGCTACAGACCAATGTGGGGTGCGGGAAGCAGCAGCCAGCACATCCCTCAGCCTGCACCGCTTCCCGCACCCCCCATTGGCTTGGGACACGAACCATGGCCAGTGGGAGCTGCGATCAGCTGAACCTGCAGACGTGGTAGATAAACAAACCAGCCCGGCCTGCCAGGGAGCTTACCCTGGTGGGCTGCATGCCAAAGGTTGCCAATCCCTGTTCTAGATATCCCTTTTCCCCCTAAATTAGGAAAGAATTTATTGCTCAGGGCGTTGATGAATTATTAGCACTTGTTTGACCCAAACATTATTATTTATTATTATTATAAATTGTATTGCCTCGGTGCCTAAGGTCCTCAGTCCAGGAGTTCATTGCCCTAGGCACTGTACAAATGGAACAAAAGAATGGGCTCTGCCTCAATGAGCTTTCAATCATGGTTTGGGCAGGTAACATGAAAGTTTCCTCACGCAAATCTATCAATGAAACTCAACGCTGGCCAACATTTTTGCTGCTATTTCAAATGTGAGATCCTATTCTGTTATGCCAATGTACCTTTGTCTTGAACACCAGTGCCCACAGCTAATTCCATACCAGCCATGCCAAATTTTGTGTGATCATTTGTGAGATGGACAGGGGTTAAAATGAGACCACCACACCCATTTTCACTTGTAACACAAATACAGATTTGAAACAGGTCTTCAGATATGAAAGACTATGCAAACCCCATTGCATTCCTAGCTCCCTGATCCCTTCATGAAATCTTGCAGATTTTCAAGTTCAAAGGCGTAACTCACAATAAAGTGAGAATGCAAAAATGTGTTTTTAAAGATGAAACAGTTTCAATCATCACTTGCAACTTTGAAGTCTATACAGATAATTGTTTTCATGTTTTAAGACAGTGACACAGTTGAATGCAGATATTGTCCCTGTTTCTCTAAGGCGAGCAGAAAGGTAAGCGATGTTAAAGGGTAACAACTTTGTCCTCAGTTGGGTTAAATGTTATCTGTAGCAATATCTGCCCTTTGAGAGAAAAGCTAATGTTTTGTTCCAGAAGACATTTCAACAGAGCTTAATCACTTCCATTTCAAATGGATACATTTATTATTGCAGACATTGTAGCCAAACAGCAAGAGATAAACGCAACAACATGCTGCTGAAGCCTTCCTTTTCCCAAGCAATATAGAGCACAAATGTTTTCTGAAGGTTAAATGAACTAAAAGCAAAACTGAAAGTAAATAAATTGGAAAACTGAGAACTCTTTTGAACAAACAGCAACAACAAATAGGATTATTCAGTCTGTCCCTTCAGGGAAAAGCAGCGTTTCAAGAGTCCTGAACTAATTGTGATGCATCATACCTACACATGTCTATCTTGTTACATAAAAGAAAATGACTGATATGGCTGAATATGGGATACTGTCAACACATGACACAAGCCTCAGAGATTATAGTCTATACATTTCTGAGGCCTCCCCACGGGTGCCTCTTTTTGCTGTTATAAATAATACTCTTTGGGAGATACCAAGTACCACTGCAGATGAGCAATCCTTGCTACATCCAAACAAAGAACAAGGACATTTTAAAAAGACAAACTCTCGGGGGGAACTCTTGTGTGTATATTATAACAACCTGTGAACGGGCAGCTAGCTGGATTGCTCAATTGACTGAACAATCTGATAATTATACAGGAACACAAGATTAAATCACTGCACTGAACCAGGAGATGATTCCACTTAGTCTAGTGCTATTGGATTCTTCAGAGAAATATGTAGGTGTTCGTCATGTACAAATTAACATTTCTATAGGGAAATTTATAGACCGTATGATGTGTTAGTCCTTTACCCCTAAGGTATTAAAAATAATAGTTAAAAGAAACCATGGCCTAAGTAACAGCATCTGCTTCTTCACTATACCAACAGGAGTGGAACCAGCTCTGATCCTAAATTTGAACTGGAACACAAAGTATACACTTTGGTAGTCTATGTATTTTGTGTCCCTGATTCCGATCTCACAAAGTTATGACCGTATAAAACAGCCATGAAATGACAATGGGGCCCAGCATGCCTCACACTCATGCTCTCAACTTAGAATTGTGTCATTCTCACTGCAGTGGGAAATCACAGTGGAGAAGGCCTCCTAGGACTACAGACTTGACAATGTGCTAGACAGGGGTGGACGAGGCAGAAAGGTCAAATGGGCTCACAGAAGTAAATGGGCTTCCATAGAATTTGGTCAAAAGAACTTTATAGCAGTTTAGCACAATATGAAAGTTTCTTACATTTCCAAACAAAACAAAGACACCACATTTTGTTTTTTTATATATATATATTAACACTTTTTAGTCTCTGGACTACATCAGTCACTGATTCTTATGGCTAATTTTATTTCTACTGCATTCTGTTGTGAGCCTAGAACTGACATGTGCCACACTGGCTGTGCAGAACTTAAGGAACACCCACCCACCCTTTCTGAGGGCCATTTAAATGCTACTACTTTGGCAAGTACCAATATTATGGTCATTTTTGTCAGAGACAAAGACACACTAGCACCCTGCCAGGTGTTAAAGAGCTATCATTGGCTTAAATAGCCCTTCCTCAGCAACAAGAAGGTTTAAACAAGAAATTTAAATTTCATCACAGAGAAAGTTCAACCCTCACATCCACAAGAGACTACTTGTCGCCTGCACCCCAGTTTGGGGTAATCCTCAAAGAGAGGACAGTGGTCTGAGAGAGAGAGAGACAGTGCCCTCCATTTCACCTCTCCTCCTCCCAACTCTCTGCTCAGCTCTCAAACAGCTGAATTAAGGGGGAGTGATCCCAGGCTGGGAAGAGACTGAAATTTACAGCAGTGTATGGTGAGACAAAACCTTTGCTTTTAAATTCACTTAGCTTAAGTTAGATTTTAGTTTGCACATCACTCTTATTTTCTTTTGTAGCCAACCTGACTTTTATGTATCATCATTTATAATTACTTAAAATCTATCTTTCTGTAGTTAATAAACTTTTCTTATTGTTTTATCTTAGCTAGTGTGTTTGGAATGAAGTGTGTGGGAAACTCTATTTGGGATTATAAGGCTGGAGCATACATCATTTTCCTTTGATGAAATGATGGACTTTCTATGTGCTTGCACTGTTCTGTAGTGTGCTGGACAATACAAGACACACATGTTTGGGGAACAAGGCTGGGAATAAGAATTTGCAGGTGTCTTCCTGTATGTAATTCAGAGAGTGCTGGTCAGAGTGCTTGTGGTTTTAGCTGGGAGTGAATTTGAATGCTGAAGGTTGTGTGAGCAGACCAGCAGTGGATGTTCTGATAGCAAAGCAGTGTAAAAGGCACCCCAGGCTAGAGAGTTAAGGGAACACCACTGTTCAGTGGTACAGATTGTGCCCTGAGGAATGTCACAACCACCTACCTACACTACAGAACATTAGATGGCATATTTTATATAGCCTGGACAAATCCCAGCATCATCAGATGCACCTATTTCATTGCACTAACAAATTTAAGGGCCTAGGGCCAGATTTTCACAGGTATTTAGACACCTAAAAATGCAGGTTGGTGCTTAGTGACATTTTCAAAAACATCGGAGCAGGTTAGGTGCCTAACTCCTGTATTATTTCAATGGGAGTTAGGTGCCTAGGTGCTTTTGAAAATCCTACTAGGCACTTATTTGCATCTTCAGACCCCTAATAACCTTTGAAAACTTGCTCTGGGTCCTTTATAGAAGTGGATACATTTGAAAAAGCTAATGGAATTGTCCAAGACAACAGGACTTAATTCCAATCACTCAGAGAGCAGCCGCAGTGGGTATTTCATGCCTGGCCATGTCTCAAGAAATAAAATGATGAAATAAATAATGGCAGCATGTAATTTGTTGTGTAACCACTTCAGACACCTTTTTTGAACCTGTTGACCACAGGAAGCCAATATGTTTTCCCATATGCATCTACTGTGGCAGCAGAACATAATGCAACCACTACAGTGAAGCTGTTAAAGTAAAATGACAAAATGTATTGGCAAATCAAGATTTTTTTAATCAGATCTGGTAAGAAATTTTTAAATACCCTAATTTATAAAGCTATCCTAGTGAGATGTTACAGATGAGCAAACTTGACCTTAAAAGACTGCTGGGTGGCCAGGGTGGTCTAATCACTTTATCATGTCAGTCTGCCTCTCCAGTGCATTAATCAAATCATAACTAAATAATCAGCTTGGAGGCTCCGTGGTATTTATAGCCATCAGGATGCATTTTATATAATAGATGCAAATAATGTGATATACTTTAATGGAATAATCTCTACATTCATACACAGCTTTTCAAGCTATAAAATACCCA